TTTTTTTAAATTAAAAATTATCAAAAAGCTGTTTATTATTTTTATTGTATTATTTTTTTTTTATTTATGTGTGTGCCTGCTTGTCTGTGTGTACACATGCATGTAACTGCCCATGGAGGCCAGAAGAAAGCATTAGGTTCCCCTGAAGCCTCATTATAAATGATTGTGGGTGCCAGGGACCAAACGGGAATCTTCTGCAAGAGCAACAGGAGCTCTTAACCACTGAGCTATCTTTCCAGCCTGTGTGTCTTCTTTCATAGTCATATGCACTAAAAAGCAGGCAACTTTCTAACATAACCGGTGGGGTTTTATGATAATTTAAGGAGCTGTACTGATTTTTATCCCTTACAGTACTGTTGTCGTTGGAAAGATTCCCTTTGTGAGCTAACCTTGTTCCCATTTTTGCTAACAGCACCTCCCTTGGTCTGCCTTAAGGGGCTGAAAATAGCCTCTGTGAGAAACATGGAATCTGTGAATGCTAAATGATTTCCCTGCAGCAGTGTGGTGCTTGGAAAGGAGTACTCAGTGGTACATACCTGCAATCCTGGCACTTAGGGAGATAGAAGCAGGACGATCAAGAGTTGGAAACCAGCCTAGGTTACAGACTCAAAAGACAAAAGGGTTAAAAGGAATACCCAAAATATGAGTTTGTGACTAAAATATATCTAGACAGACTTAAAAGATTTCACAATTTCAGTTACTAGTGATAGTTTTCCCAGCCACTATTCCATAAAGGTTTAGAGGCTAAATACTTCTGTATTATCCCTATTAAGGAAGGTATGGATGCTACTTGGTTTATGAAAATGAATAACCAGATATTTTAGCCATGTAAGCAAAAATTTGACAAGTGGACCAAGATTTCTGCTAAATTAAAATCTGTCAAGTAGCTGCACAGTCCATGAAGTTGCTGGCAAATGGCACATTTTCTACATGCCAGTCTTGCTAATACCATTTCTGGGCTCGGAGATTAAAGAGAGCTGGCTGGGTTTCCTTTGCAGGTTAACCATCTGTTCGTTCGGCCTCTGCCTTTTCCTGTCCCAGATGTAGTCAGAGCATGCCGCTGTACCCTGCCATTCCTTTCTTTTCAGCCTTAGTCTAACAAAGGTCTTCCTTCTGATGAGACAGCGTCACTCACTCGCTGCAGGTTAACATGGCTTCTATTCTGCTTAATCTACCATGAAAATAGACTCGGACATCCTGTCGACATCACTTGCCCAACAGCTGGTTCATTCCTACAGCCCTGCGTCTGCGCCATTCCCTTGAATTTATTTCATTCTTCCTCAGTTTTAGATCTTAATTTCCTTCCTTTGATGTAGTCTCAATACAAGATACATATGGAAATATATAGATATGTGTGCCATTTATACTCCATATAGACATCTTGTATTAAGACTATATCTTGTACACACACACACACACACACACACACACACACACACACACACACGGCAGCCCAGCTGCCTGTGAGTTGCTTTGTAGCCCAAGCTGACTCAGACCCCAGCTCCTCCTTCCTGAGGCTCCCAAGAGCTGCAGTCAGGAACGTTGCTACCACACCCAGTTCCCCCAGTTATTCTCTGTGCAGCCTCAAAACCAGTTCAGAGAGCCTCTCACCTGCTGGCCAAAAAAAAAATAAATAAATAAAAAAATTTGGTCTGCCCAGTTTCTGTTGCCCTGTGAATAGAGGTGAAGCATTTCATCATTGCCCAACCTGTATTAGCCCAGACAGCACAGAGCTTTTTATTCATTTTTATTCATTTATTTCTTTTTGGTGAAGACAAGAAACGTAACAGTAACATTTTTCCTTCAAGCACACAGGAGAAGACAAAGGACTAAGATTCTCATTTAGTGTGATAGCAATTCTAGTCCCCACACTGGTTAAGAACATGTCAAGTATCACTACAGCAAGAAATATCAGTAAGACGAGTTACATTTTTCTTTTTGAAACCACTTGTACAAGACACAGCAACGGTTTACAAAGTCTTCAGACTTTAAAGATCACATTGTGATAAAGATCACATTGTGCGGATTGTGTTTCTAAGAATACAGCTGTATATGAACAGACACCAGAATAAGTTCATCTAGGAATGAATATTCACGGAGGTCTTCATACTGCAAAGGACAGAAATTCAAATGTTTGCACTTGGTCTCAATTAGAAGCAAGAGGCAGGCTTGTAAACATCACTTCTGCCAGTCAGCTGACAGGGAATGATAGGGTTTGGCCAAGCACAGTGGGATAAGGAGTGCACACCATTGATCTCCCACAGACAAAGGTCACTCCTCGAATCTGAAGAAAAAACACCCAGACTTACGTCTGTTTACAGAAGATCTATTGGTGAAGTTGAGAATTAGGAAAAACAATAGGAAAATCCTCCAAGCATTCCCTTTAAATCCCAACCCACCTGCTCTCTGCATTCTGCACTGGAACATGCCTCGGGGACCCCTCCCCCCCAACCTGGCTCCTGCAAGACGTCAATCATCACAGCAGGCCTAGAAGAACTCACTCTGCAATGGGCTACCCTTTCCCTCCAGTCCTCATAAATTCCCAGCCTCCACTGAAGGTATCGAGACCTCCTGAGCCCTGGAGGAGTCTTAGACAAATCCTTTTAAGTCAGAAAGGGTGGGCGAGGGGCTGCCGCTTCAGGCTCAGCACCGCTGCCTACCCACAGGAGCGTGTCCGGCAAACCCAGACTCCACATCCCCCATCCCTCGGGAGATGCTTGGAGTCTCCCACAATGCACTCTACAGCCCTCTTCCTCCTTTGTTAGGATGGAGACAAGGGGAGAGAAATTCAAAGGCTGATGAGTAAGGGCCACAGCCCGGCAGACAGCAGGGATGACGCACACTGATGCTCTCTAGTCATTCCACAGGCCGAGGCCCAAAAATGCCCCGCTGTGTCGTTAGAAACGTAGGACCTGGGTGCCGCGTTAGTTGCATTCATTCACATCCTGCTCAGGGGCTGCGGTCTGTCCTCTGGCTGCTTCTTCCTCTTCTCCGGGCTTCTCAAACTAGAGCTTAAGAAATACACAGCCTCTGCTAGAATGGAGGAGGAGGAGGCAAGAGTGGAGGTGGTCTCCCTTGAAATTTTCAGACGTTGCCCAAGAGAAGGGTGATATAGTGAGGGCAGCAAGAGATTTGGAGTCTACTTGACAGTACCTTTTTCCTGCCTGTACACAACTGGGGGCGGGGGGCGGGAGGGAAAAAAACAAACCTTGCTGCCCATTTTGTTTTTCTGTCTCGGGGTGTAACTGCTTCAAAGAGAAAGGAACAGGGGAAGAAAAGGAAAAGAGTCAGTGGAGTCAGTGGGAGAAAGACACAGCAAACCCTGTGTGCCACAAATGATTTCTAACTGCCCCAACCTAGGCAGCTTTGACTTACTTAATCAGAGTGGGTGTGGACACAGGAAGAAGGGGTTTACCTTCAGAGTCATTTGTTGGCTAGGGCTCAGAACTAACTGCTAGAAGGGAGCCCTTCCAGCTATCTATGCCTTGGGCACTGCCACATGGGACTACACATCCTGCCCAATAGCGAACAGAGTCATGGGTAATGAATGGTACAGTAAGGGGGTCCTGTGGGCTGCCTAGGAGCTTAGGTCCTTAGATAGTTCCTGAGGAACAGTGTTGGCCTGGGCAAAGCTCAACCAGGAGAGAACTAGTGGGCAATTGCACAGGCCTCCATACTCACCAGTAGCTGATCACAGTAACCAAAGTAACCAATGTGGTAACATAAAAACACTCCTCACCTGTTACTTCACTCATACCTAGTAGTCAAACCCACCAGCCACCTGCTTGTTATACCCGTAACAAGCAAGATAAATAAATAGCAAAGGCCCAGGAAGACAGCTAGGATCAGTTGGAATGTCCCGTTGGGCT